ACAGTCCCGGGGCCCGGCGGGGGCTCCCGGGTGCCCAAACGAGGACGACGCCGCTGTGCCTCTTGACGGAGCGGGGACGTCTTGGCCGGGGAGCAAGAATCGGTCAGGGCTGAACCTAAAGGGTGTTTCTCGTTTTCGTGTTGTTTTCGTTGTCCCTCGTTTTGTCTTCAATCCATCTCGACCGCAAAACGGAGTCGAAACGAAAACAGCCCACGAAATCGCCCAAACAACGTTTAGGTCCAGCCCTGGCTCCCAGATGCCAAAATGAGGACGACGCCGTTGTGTTTTCTTGACGAAGCGGGGATGTCTTGTCCAGGGAGCAAGCTGAAGGGGCCCACAAGCACACAAACAAATACACACTGATAACAGGATTCCCAATAGTCTTACATATGTTCTGGTTTTTTTTTGTCTTCCCCCCCACTTCCCATAGTTTCCTGTATTTTCTGGGGAATCGACGATGAATTGTGTCTGTGTGTTTGGGTCCCAACCTGAACGAATCGATCCCACGACCTATGCTGGACAGAAGCTTAGGGCGGAGCCAGCCGCGGCGCCGAAGAAGACACCTGGAGGCCCCCCAAATCAAGGGCAGACAGACTGCGAGCTCGGTCTGCCAGCCCTCGAACCTCCACGAAAATCAGGGCCAGCCTCGAGCGGAGAAGGGATACGGCGACCCCAATCCCTGATTTCATGGGGGTTCTCGAGGCGATCAGAGACTTGAGACAAAACGCTAGGATATACCAAGGGGGGGGGGCGCGCGCCCTAGATAGGGGTGCGTCCGACTAGCCCTCCAGGGATGTCTCCCAGAGTCCTCCCCCTTTTCCGAGCGGCCCAATTTTTTCGGGTGGAACTCTGGGATTGGGGGCGATAAATCTGAAGGGGCCCAGGGGGCACACTAATGAAGAGGCACACATCCCGACACATGTTTCATGTTTCCTGGATGTTAGTCTTCCTCCCCACTCTCCATATGATCAATGGCCCTGGGAAGTGTGCGATCATTTGTGTCTGTGTGTGTTTTCCCCCTCCTGAAAATCGCCTGCGAATATTGGGCATCTGGGATTTCCAGAGTATCGCACGGCGCAGCTGGTGCGGAGCATGAGAAAATTTGGGAAATCCCTGGAAGCCGTGGAACTTATGGAACGTATCATGAATACGTGACGGTGCCTCTGGCACGAAGTGGGCGGCCCCCTAGGCTCATGCAGCATTGAGAGGTAGACGCGATGCAGCTTCTGCAACGATACACGTCGGTCGGAAAAAGTAGGTAAAAACATAACGTAGGAAGGCGGATATAGTGGATTGGGTCCAGAGAATAACAAAACACAGCAAACGCATGTCGATTCTTGAAGTAGGAAGGCGCTTGAAGTATATTGGGGTCTGGGAATCCCAAAATATCGATGTTCAACGACCGGCGTGTAATTGCAAGTCTTGAAACACCCTGACCAACCGTGTACTCAACCTTCCCAGGGTTTCCCAGGCTGCCTCCCGTGGGTTCTGGTGCGTTTTCTGCGCCTCCTGTGGGCGCTGTGCCCCCCCAAAGCGACCTCCCGAACCCTCTCATGAGTCCGAAAGGGCTCCGAGTCACCGAACTATCGCTTCAAGACGCCCAAGATGGCCTCAAGATGGCCCAAGAGGCCTCCAAGACGCCACAAGATACCTCCAAGAGGCCTCCCAAGAGGGCCCCCAAAGGCGCAATCATTGTTTCTCCTTAGATTTTTGAAGGATTCGGGCGTTCTCGCCTTGTCGAAATTCCGGCGCGCGCAGACGGTCCAAGAGGCCCCCAACACCACCCCAAGAGGCCTCCAAGAGGGCGCCAAAACGGCCTAAGAGCGCACTAAGACGGCCCCAAAAGCGCCCAAGACCGCCCAAGAGGGCCCCCAAAGCCCCGGAAGGGGCCCAAGAGCCTTCCGCCCCAAGAGACCCCCAGGAGGCCCCAAGAGGCGCCGACGAGGCCCCTCAGAGGCCCAAAAGAGGTCCCAAAACGGCCCCCAGGAGGCCTCAAAACTGCCTCCAAGAGGCCCCCGAGAGGCCCCCCACGAGATCCCAACGAACATCCAAATCGCTCTATAGCCACAACCCAGACACGGTGGCGGGATGGGCCGAAGGTAATTGAATCCGCCGCCGCCTGTCGCTTCATCGCAGGGGTGCCTGGCGTGCTAGATGATTTCGGTTTTGATTTTCGTTCTTTTCCAAAAGAACTGCCTCCGGCGCGTCCCGCCAGGGTCCCGGGAAGGATCTCAAAACGCATCCGTCGATGCCTTTGTTGCCCCAAGTTGGCCCAAGATGGCCTCCAAGACGGCCAAGATGGCCCAGGATGGCCTCCAAGTTCGTCCAAGATGGTCCAAGATGGCCTCCAAGACGGCCCAAGAGGGTCCAAGATGCCTTCTGAATCGTCCAAGAAGCCTCAAAACGGGCCAAGATGGCTCCAAAATGGCCTCAAGATGGCCCAAGAGGGTGCCAAGAGGTCCCCCAGGAGAGCCCGAAGAGGCCAAAATCACTGATGTTCCATTGGTTTTAAGTTGGTTTTGACATATGCTTCTTTTAAGCCTTCCCGCCGTCCAAGACGGCCCAAGAGGCCACCAAGATCGCCCCCAGAGCACGCACGAGGCATCCGAGATGGCCCCATGACGGCCCAAGAGGCCCCCAAGACGGCCCCAAGAGGGCCCCAAGACGGGCCAAGAGGCCTCCAAGACGCCCAAGATGGCCTCCAAGACGGCCCCGAAGCGCCCTAAGAGAACCCCAAGCCGGTTCAGAGAGGCCCCCAAGACGGCTCCCGACGGCGTCAGACGGGCCAGGAACCCACCAAGATGGCCGAAGTTGGCTCGAAGCTGGCCCAAGAGGCCTCCAAGAGGGCCTCCAGGAAGGCCAGAACATGTAAAATAACACTGCCCCAAGTCGGCCCAGAGAGGCCCCCCAAACGGCGTCCCACCAAGACGGCCGAAGATGGCCCTAAGATGGCCCAAGAGGCCTCCAAGAGGGCCTCCAGCAAGGCCCGAAAAGGCCAAAATCATCGATGTCCCATGAGTTTTGAAGGATTGTGACATTTGCTTTTTTTGTTCGGTCTTCTGACGGCCCGAGACGGCCCAAGTGCCCCTAAAGATCGCCCAAGAGGCCCAAGACGGCCCCAAGAGGCCCCCAAGACGGCCCAAGAGGCATCCAAGACGCTCAAGATGGCCTCCAAGACGGCCCAAGAGCCCTCCAAGACGTCCTCCAAGAAGGCCCGAAAGGGTCAAAATGGCCTCCAGACGGCCAAGATGACCTTCAAGATGCCCACGTGTTCCCCGAAGGCTTTCCAAACCGATTCGGGGAACCTATGGTCCGATAGCTTGGCAGGTCTGGCCTCAACGTTCGGCAACACAGGCGTTTGCAGAAAGGCAGGGGGCGGCGGTGATTCGCCGTAGGCGTCTTCGATATGGGACATCCTGGACACCTGAGAAATCTTGGAACGTATCATTATAACGGCCCCGTTCCCCTTGCTTTTCTAGATTGATTTCGGGCAGGACTCGGGGATTGGAGACGGTAAATCGCCTGCGAACATTGGGCGTGAGCTCGACACAGTTAAAACTTATAGCAAGGATGCGCGATAATGATACAAGCCCCTTGGAGGCCATGAGGGCACTTTTCGAGCGGGGCTGGCCGGTCAAGGATGGGCCGACGAGGCAAGAACGCCAGGGCACCTGAGTTGGAGGCCGCTTGGAAGCCTGAACTAATGTTAGGTCGGGCATGTCCCCCTACAGGCGGATTTTGGACGAAAGAGGAAAAAACATAGAAATATGCAAATAGCAATAAACAGTAACAAAACTATACTGTTTTTGACTGTTTGGGAATATTCCTCCTTCAGGGGGACAGGCCCGCCTTAAAACTAGTTCGGACCCCAGAGAATCGGTCATGAGGTTGGGAAGAGATCAGATCAGCTCAAAATCTGCCCCCCGGACCCTTCCCGGTGTCCATCTGGTGCAGTTTTAGGCCCAGATCCGTGCTTTTTTACGGCGCCCCGGCCCGATAAAAAACTGCCCCCGGAGGCAGAAAGGAGCAATCACCTCTGCGAACCCAGAGCATTGAGCCTGCCCACCCTCCTGGCAGGAATCGATGCTTGGCCACCTCAGGCCCCGAGACGGCTGCACCCCTTGGGAAGCTGCCCATCCTTCCTATCGGCTTCGACTCCCGCATCGGGCCCTGGAGGTCTCGATTCCCTGGAACCCGTTTTTCATTCTGAATCGCTGTATGTCGGTCCCGAGGCCCGGTAAGGGTCCCCAGACTGAGGGTGAAAATTAGCGAGAAAAAAAAGTCGTCGAGATTGTTTCATAACTCGAGGGGGCCTGTTACCCCTGGGGAGGTGCCCGTCCTTACCACAGGTCCCTTAGCAGGCGAAGAACGGTATGACATATGTGTGTTCGCCGTCGGGGACGCCTGCACCCAGGACGGCTGGACAGTTTATACCACTACGTGGCATCGTAGGGGTAGAAATGATGGGCCTGTTTTCCAGCACCACTACCATGCGTTAGAGGGGGGAAGGAGGACGAGGACGAGGACGAGGACGAGGTGGAGGAGGAGGAGGAGGAGGAGGAGGAGGAGCAGGAGGAGGACCCCCTTCCCCTCCAACCTACGGTGGTGGTGGTGGTGGATGACAGGCCCATCGATACGCTTTTCGGCCGCCCCGGGAGGCAGGCGTCCCCGACGGCGGCACGGTCTGCTGCACACCGTCCCCTGCCCCCTCCAAGGAGCCTCGACCGTGGGGCCCGTCGGGCTCGGCCACGGCCTGCCCCGCGCGGGCTGTGAGCGCAGCAGCGACTGCGCGGCAAGGCCCCTCCTCCCTTTTCCACCTCCTCCTCCTCCTCCTCCCTCCTCCTCCTCCCTCCTCTCCTCCTCCTCCTCCTCCTCCTCCTCCTCCTCCTCCTCCTCCTCACCCCGCTCGTGTTCCTCCTCTTTCTCATCCTCTTTCTCCTCCTCCTCCTCCTCCTCCTCCTCCTCCTCGTCCTCCTCCTCACCAGTCTCGGCCGTGGGGCCTTCCGGGCTCGGCGCCAGCCTGCCGCACGCGGCCTGTGCGCGCTGCGGAGCAACGACTGCGCGGCAGAGTTCCCGCTCTCGTCGTTCGTGGCGAGCTGGGGCGGTCGGCCGCCGCTGGTTGCCGGAGGACGGGGAGGATGACGAGGAGCCAGCGGAGGAGGAGAAGGAGGAGCAGGAAGAGGACCAGTGTAAACCCAAGAGTCACCAACAATGTTGGAATAAACCCTCCCCCCCAAGCTCCCTCTTCATAGGCCCCCTACAACGGCTAATTTCAACAGAGTGACCTGCCTCGTTGGAAGACAGCCGTTTGAAGACCCTGAACCATGCCAGAGCATGATGTTCGGTATTCCAGCGCCACGGATAAACCTGACTGTTGCGTCTTGACGATCCTGAATCGCGCCAGAACGCAATTCCTGGGAATTCAACACCGCGTATCATCGTAACGGTTGAACCTTGCTAATTATGAACCCTTCCGAACCGCAATTTCTGGTGCGTCGATCATGGGAACCCGTGTAACTCTTGTCATCGTTTAACAAGAATGTGCGCGGCGCTACGGCAAGAGCTACATTTTGAAAAGGAACCGCCTTCAATCAACAAAACCCTTGCAAAATTTAGAAACGAATGTGCGCGGTGCTGAGGCGAGAACCACATTTTGAAAACGGCCCGCCCTCAATTCGCGAAATTCTTGCAATTAAAAAAAAACGCGGCGCAAAAGCGAGAACCACATTATGAAAACGACCCGTCCTCAATCCGCGAAACTCTTGCAAATGTTGAAAACGAATGCGCGCGGCGCTAAGGCGAAAACCACATTTGGAAAACCACACGCCCTCAATCCGTGAAACTCTTGCGAATCGTGAAAACGAATGTGCGCGGCGCTAAAGCGAGAACCACAATTTGAAAGCCACCCGCCCTCCATCTGGGAAATAGTTACCAATGTTTCAGCTTCAGGGTCATAAGTGGTAACGAAGCCTCAGGCGAAACGCCCGGCCCGCCCTGAAAGCTGGCCTCGCGGTGCGACATGGAGAAATGATTCATAATGAAAGGAATGGGGAAGAGGAGGAGGAGGAGGAGGGGGAGGAGGGGGAGGACGAACAAGAGGAGGAGGAGGAGGAGAGAGAGGAGGGAGGTGCGGAGGGGGGGCACGACGACCACGGCGAAAGCAACCACGACGAACACGACCACGACAACGACAACAACCACAACGACAACCACGACGACCACGAGCACGACGACCACGAGCACGACGACCACGACGACCACCACCACAACGACAACAACCACGACGAACACGACCACGACCACGACGACAACGACAACGACAACGACAACAATGACGACGATGACGACGACGAAAATAACGACGACGACGAGGACGACGACGATCGCGACGGCAACGATGGCGGTGACCGCGACCGCAACGGCGACCATCGCGGCGGCGGACGACCGCGGGGCCGCATGGCGCAGGCCGCCGAACCCCCTGCGCACTCCCTGCTGCTGGCAACGCGACCCCCCCGAGCCGTCGCATCGCAGCGGCCCTGGCATGGGACGCGCGCGGGCATTCTCAGGGGGGGACTGGCTCAGGGGGGGAGCAGTGCCATCTAGAATCGACAAACGCATCGCCGACAGATCGGCGATCATCCCCCGAAGGCCCCGATCGGCAGACACTGGGCGATCGGTAAATGCCGATGGGGGTAATAATGATAGCGCGGCATGGGAACGCTCACAGCTCTCGAATTCAGCTGTCTTTTCGCGGGGGCAAAAGGGCTCGGCGAGCGAATCCGTAGCGAAGCATCGGGCCCGCACGGTGTCCCTTCCCTTTTCCCCGCCCAGCCCCCAGGATAGGGAGGGCGAAGGCACGGGCGGGTGAGGGAGGGCGGGACGCAAAAGGACATGCCAGTACTATGTGCCCTCCTTGGAAACGTGCGCCCGACCAGAACACGCAGTACGAACATAACGTGACCAGAACCATCGCGCGCGCTTCACGCGCGCTCAAGTTCTAGCTGGGCTGGATAGGCTAACGCATGGAATCTCATGTTTGACGTTCCCTTCGTCGAGGGACTCTCTTGGAGGCCCTGCGCAAGCCTCGAAAGCGTATAGAAGGGATAATGCGGAAACGCAAACACCATCCATTGCCTTTTTGTGAGGTGTTCGACGATTTGGGGCCCTCAATGGCTTCCTGAAATCTTTCTTAGGTGGTGACGGTGGCCTTAACTGTGGTCTGGTGTGCAAGAATACATAGGGGGGGGCGAACTCGGAAACACAAATATGTGGGAATTCCTTTTTTTTCTCGAATTGCCGCGCCTGGGCTGTAGGTCGGAAGTCTCCTGGATGCATGCCATGGCCTGTTGGGATGCATCTCGGGGCGTTATTCGCGGCGTCTTGGGGGCTTCCCCGGGCCCTGTTAGGGGGCTATTGGTGCCTCCAGGGGGCTTCACGGGAGTGTCTGAAGCCATGCCTCGAGAGCCTTTGGGAGAATCCTGGGGCCATCTTAGGGCAAAACGGTCGGAGTTCTCGGGGAGGTCCTCTATGCTTGTTCCCTCGTGGCGCGCCCTCCGAATTTCTAGCTAGGCTGGATGGGCGAACTCATGGGATCCAGATGTTCGACGGCGATTGTCCTGGGCAGCCTAGCTTACACGAGCACGACCCAAATGGAATTCCCAAGGCAGCGCCAGAGCCATTCACCAGCAGTCCTGAAAAAAGCTTTGAACTTTGACACCGGAATATTGATGGGGCTTGGGGCTTGGGGTGAAATTCTGGAATATATATATATGTGTGTGTGTATGTGCATATATGTATACATACATATATGTACATATATAGATGTATATCTATATAAATAAAAACCAATAGCAAAAACGGACACGGGCCTCCTACAATGTAGTGCGCCGGAATCGGGGGGGCATAATAGGCCTGCAGGGGGCTCCTCGGAGGCAGTTTTGACGCTTCTCCAGGGCTGTTTTGGTGACCTCGTGGGTTTGTCGGGGCGCCTCTCAAGAAAATTGGGTTTGCTGGGGGCCTCTAGGGGATCCTGGAGGCCTGCCGGAAGCATCTTGAGGCATCCTGCTACGCGCCGCCATGTTTGCCCGTCTTTTCCTGGGCTGCAGCTCCGCGAGCCCGCCCGCGACCTGGCGAGACGTCGCCGCTGCGCGCGACTCTACCTCCCCCCCCGTTTTCCTTCGTCGCCGCCCTGTCCGCCACTGACTTTTCCTTGTTCCGCGATGCCCTCGCTGCGGCCAGCGCTCCGCCCAGGTCGCACTTCGCTGCTTTTCGGCCGCGAGTTTCGCGCGTCGCTGAGCGGCGTCTCACTTGCGCGCTGGCCCCGCGCTACGTCGCATCGCAAATGTCAGATTCGGCGACGGCGGCCCGCCAAAAGACACAGCGGGGCGGAAGGTCAGTGGACCTAGCGATTAGCAGAGCGCCACTTCGATCTTCGCCCTCAAACCGCGACGGGCATCCAAGGGGGATCCCAGGCACGGCTGCGGAAGGGGCCGATGGCCAGCGAATGTCTGGATCACGCCCTCCAAGCGAAACCTGCTCCCGAAATGCTCAAAGAGAACGTCGCGCGCGTCCTTCGCGGCGGCGTTCTCCCGCTCGGACATATCGCCCCTTCCGGGGCCAGCGACCTGGCGGCCCAGCGCGGCAGTCGCCGCGGGCCTGGGCCCATCTCCCCCGCAGCGAGCATCTCGCCAGACTGTCGCCCCGAGGGAGCGCTGAAACGGGCGCCAGAGGATCGCGGCGAACGCGTCCAATGATATCTCCTTCGACCTGAAAGATTGAAACCCAGAGCCCGCATCACGTGCTCTTCGAAGAGCACGGGGGACAGGAAGACGCGCTCCGGCTATACCGGAAAGTGCGCTGCCACAGTGGCCCGCTCCACGAGCGCGCCGACGTTCTTCTTGCTGCCCTGCCATAAAAACCCTCGCTGGGCCCGCCAACTGCACGGATGCAAGACCTCCGAGAAGAGCGCCGCGTCGGCGGCGCGGAGCCAGTCGAGTGAACGATCGCAGACCCGCCAGACAATGACATTGACATCCTTGGAGAACGAATCGCGCGGAAGCAAAGGAGAACGTCGGAGATGCATCATCTCTCGACTGTTCTCACTCAACCACCCGCGCAAAATACACACTTAACAGAACAGCAAATGCAGTTCGTTCAAACGCGACAGCGGCAGCGGGGACCACAGACCGCAGGCGCGATCGGTCTCAGCATCGAAGAGCAGTGCGCAGCGGTCTACTTCCCAATTTCGAGACACGCGAATGCCGATGTTTCCGTCCAGGCGCACTTCGTGTACATCGCGTGCCGATTTGATTCGAGACTCCACTGTGGCCGTTGCTGCTCTCATGCGCTCTGTGGACCCATACTATTTCAACACACCGGCCACTGTCCTACTTGACGAACGAATAAGAGAGGTATTTATGCACACGGCACACGTTCTCACGTGCTGCTCGGTGGAGAAAACTCAAATTCTTCGTCCACCGTCATATGGATGCTATCAGTTTTTTTTTGGCAGCCCGTGCGAAGGGATGCGATCCTATTTCGCCGGCGTGTCAAACTTTTGTACCATATCCGCAAATTTCGGCCGGTCGGACCACGCGTCGACACCTCGCCATACTGGCAGTGGCAAGCGCATTTCATACGACTCGGAGCCGCGGCCGGCAGAGGTGCGACCGGCTACAGGGGAACTCTGGAACACGGACGCAAGAGGGGGTCTTCACGCAACCTGGCGTGGCGAGGACGGGGAGGAGAGAAAATAAGGGAAGAATGAGCAGAAAAAAACGTAAGCAAGAATTGATAAAACATGAAAATGCTCTGGATGTTGTGTCGCAAAGGTCCGCCGGTCTCCCCAGAGGCCATCCGGGCCCCTGTGCAGGCGAGCGGAAGGCGTAAGCATTCCCAAAAAAAACAAAGAAACGAAAGCGGCAGTCCCCGATCGGCAGAGGAATGCGAACCCTATCAAGGCAACACTTCGCACATGAGCGCCCGACATCGCCCGAAGAGGGCGTCACAAGCGGCCCAACATGCCCACGAGAACCCCAGGACGACTCCCAAAGCGGCTACCGCCCCCCAAACTCCTCGGCCCCCCGGACTTCTCCCA